ATATATATATATATATATATATATATATATATATATATATATATATATATATATATATATATATATATATGTATATATATATATATATATATATATATATATATATATATATATATATATATATATATATATATATATATATATATATATATATATATATATATATATATATATATATATATATATATATATATATATATATATATATATATATATATATTGATGTACATACAAAACATTAAAAATAATAATATAAAGAAAACATTCTCTATACAAAAAACCTTAAAAATTTAACAAAAGTTATTAAAACTTATGCTTCAACACGCTGTATACTTACTTTTATATATATAAAAAAAATTGAGTTAAACATAGTTAATGAAGAAAATCGAAACTCTTAAAAATTTTAATGAGGAGGAGCTGTTAGTAAAGCCTGCTTTTTAACAAAATTTATTTATTGTCAAAAGAACAGAGGATAACAACATTAAAACACATTTTTTCAACAATATTTTTTCAACACATTTTAGAAATACACTAATTACAAACAGAATTAATTTATGTGTTTTATTATGACAATACACCACTCTGCTGGCGAGGACAATATTTTTGCTCTCAACAAAGCCAGGTCACATTATAGCAAAGTACACTACTTGGCTAGCAAGGTCAACAATCTTGCTGTAAACTAAGCCCAGTCACAACAATTTGAAACCATGCAAACAACATAATTATCACTTACAAACTATAAACATATTACATATAACACACCACAAACATTGAAACATTTCATATATTTACACACTTACAAAATATAAACCCATATAACCTTAACACATATATACACAATAAAAAACAATATAAATAACACACATATATAGATAAATATATAAATTAAGAAAAATATATAAATTTGAAACTTTACAAATACAACCTTATTTTTGTTTTTTGAAATACCTCGTAATAAATGTTTAACAACTTTCAAAAACAAACTATTAAACAATATGGTTTTTTATACGGATTTTTATAACTTCTTTTAAATAAGGTATTAAACGATCTTGTTCTTTAACATGTAACATTGAGTTGACCGTGTGAGATGCAAGTGTTTTAAACACTAACTTTATCAAGAGTTTGACCTCTTGACCTTTGAAATGAGCAACGTCTTCTTGAGTCGTCTTTTAATTTAAAAATTACAGATTAATTTTATAAATTAATAAATTAATAAAACAATTGACAAAAGACTAAAATGCATGATTTAAATAAATCACCTGACTTTAAAAGCTACTTTACTAATTCAATAATAACATAATGTTCATCCTTTACTACAGAAGTTATCAAATAAAAATTGTTGATCTTATCACTAATTAAGCTGATGAAACAAAGTTTTTGATCTCATTACTGATTAAGCAGATACTGACAGATTATTAAGATTTGAAAGAGCCTCATTACGCGAGTTAAGAAGTAAAGCAATTTATAATAAAACTCAAAGGCCAAGTATGGTAAAAAAGTCCGTGTAAAGGTGCACGAATGGTGAGCAGCAGCAGCGGCAGCCTTAAGTTAAGTATTAATTATAAGCGATTATCGAAGTATCTACTAACTGACTCCTTGTATTGACTTTGGTCCAGCTAGATTGTATGAGCCGACTCACTGTGCGTTGAATTGATCGAATTTAAATGACTTGCAGAGCGTGGAGTTTTTAAATCAAATAATAGCTCGTAAATATCATTTTGCGTCTGATTTAGCCGCCTTTAAATAATAAAAGTAAAGATTAAATTTTTTATATAAAGTTTAAAAATAATATGTTAATCTTAATATTCAATGTATTTAAGACATTTTTATACTATATTACTATAAAAAACTTGTTTTCTTGCCGTTTTTATTATTGATAAAAATAGTTACATGAACGCCATATAAATACCTTTTTGGCGCTAAAAGTGGAGTTTATGCGCAAAATTGACACTTAGCATATTATACTTTGTTAAGTAAAAAAAATCACATAACTTTTATAAACGGGTAATACAATTCGATGTAAACTAACAAGGTTTTCGAGAGACAAAAAAACTCAACAAAACTTCAATTCTATCTAAAAAATGCGCAGTATTGAATTTAAACTATTTCAATTAAAATAACAAGATCTACGATGATAAAAATTCTGAATATAAAGAAGAAAAACTACAACTTCTCTAGCTTAAAATAAAATAAACTGGGAAAAGATAACATATATTTCGATTAGATAAATGGGTTCTGTTAAACTCAGATACGCCAGTAGGTAGTCTTAGGAAACCCATCTGCAGTACTTTTTTACTGTCGGTATTTAAAAATCTTTTTCCTGTGTTCCTTTTAACTAAACAAATATGAAAGTATGTAAATACTTGTGAAAATTATTTGTTCAAATTTTATTTCAAAAATTTGATCGGACAATATCCGACCAAAATAACTTTTGGTCGGACATTTTGTCCGGGACCTTATAAAAAATTAAATTAAGCCCTGTTTTATTATACGCATTTAATTGATTTACTTATATCACACAATCATCACAAACATGATAATATATGCATCTAATTATATATAATTTTGTTTTTCTCAAAAAAATTACGCTAACAAAACTTGTCGAATATTTTTGCCTTTTAATATTTTTGTTGCAAAACTTGTCATAAATATTTTGATTTTATTATTTTATATATAAGAAAAGCGCCTATGATGGCCTACTTAACTTTGAAGCTTTATTATTCAATATAAAGAACAAAAGTTTTTATATTCATACATTGTTTGTTAAATGTAGAACATTAATAACATTAGAGGTTTTTATCAGTTTTATTTTTTTATTAGTTATTTTTATTTTTAAACAATGTACAAGTATGCCAACATAGGCAACTACTGCTCCTATGAAGGCATAAAGAAGGATGGGGCTGGTTAGCATTATGGTAACTTGATGTTTTTATTTGATCTTAAAGTCTTTCCTCAAAAATACCAGAAAATGCGCGTAATCATCTTAATATACCGTTTCGTGCTACTCAAATACAGTGTAGAATTTAGCGCATGCGCATAAGAGATTGTGCATTTTATGTGTTTTTTGCACCAAATATTTTTTAGTGAAGTAAAAATTCCTTTTTACTTCACAAATAAATTTGTTGTTTTTATGAAAAAAAAAAAAAATTTCTTCACTCTTCAATATCGCTACACATTAAAGTATTTCAGTATACCATCATAGGAAGAAGTCATCATTTTCATTTAAACAATCTGTTTATCTTGTTTAAGAGATAAAATTAAAATAAGTATTCCACTAAAGTATAACAGCACATCATAAAGTCAATTTTTGTTGATTATGAAAGCAATATTTATGCATAAGGGACATATTTTTACGAAAACTAATATAAAGTCTGTATAGACATGTTGATCTATTCACTTTTTCATCATAACTAATATTTATGAAATATGACCGGTATGCCATCATAGGTGCCTTTTCCCTAATTTTTATATTTTTCCTGTTATAAATTAAATTAACAAACTTTACAATACTTATGCACATTACGTATTTAAAATGTGGCTTTAGAAAAAACTCATTATTTTGTTTTCGTAAATAAAAAGGGAGAGATTGTAATGCTAAAATATAAACAACTCCATTTAATACAATCAATTATAGTTTATCCAATTCACTAATCAAATTGATTATATCAAACTAAAATATAATAAAATTATTGTTTACAGCAATCTGTGCACCAATTAGTTTTGATTTGATAATTATACTAGAAAAAATATATAGGAAAAGTATATTAAAAAGTTTCTCATTTACTGCTTTACGTTGAATAAATTTATTCCTATCATATTAAATAGACGTTGAGTAAAGGTAAATTGTTTGCAATGAATAAAATAAATTTTTAAGTGATTTTTAAATTCCCATTATAAAATAAGCCTATTCAGTACAAGGTATGTTTTTTTTTTTTTAACATTTTGCCGTTTAATAAGAATTACAGTTTACAAAAATTTACAATTAAGTTAATGGCCGGAGCAAGAAGAAGGCATTAAATTGCCTTATCGCTGAGCACCGTGTTACAGTTTATAATTTTTTACAAAATTATTGAAGAATATATAGTATATAAGAAAAATTGAACAAATATTTACAAGAATTCAAAAAAAAAAAAGAAGATATCGTTTGATACATAATATCATAAATAGACAAAATAAAAGTAAAAATGAATATATATAAATTTATATACACATTCACACACTTACACATATAAACGAACATATACCCATATATATGAACACACACAAACACAAATATATAAATACATATATATACATACATACACACACATACGCACATACACATATACAAATATACACATACACACATACACACATACATATATAAACATATACATACACATACATATATATATACATATATATATATATATATATATATATATATATATATATATATATATATATATATATATATATATATATATATATATATATATACACATATATAAATATACACACATACACACATAAATAAGTACAAATATACACATACATGAGTATAAATATACACACAAAAAATAAAAAGCAAGAAAATGTGATTTTTGATAATGGTTATTGTCAATAAATTTTTAACTTTTTTTTTTTAATGATTACAAGGAACTGTTACCTTGCTTTTTATTTATAATTCATATATTTGATTTATTTTAAAAGAAAGACATTAACAACACTCCAACCATTGCTTTTTTAATTATTCAAGTTTTTTGTTTTGTTTTTAATTAGTTTAAAAATTTTTATAAATAAGTCTGAATTTCTGAGTTCATGTTATCCAAATTATAGAATAATACAAAATATTATGTAAAAATTACCTTGTAATTAATTTATTATGTACACTGTATTATTTATATATACAATATTATATATACAATATTATGTAAAAAATGCATTATGGCTGAGAAGAAAAATATGTAGTTATTTTTTTAATAAATATTTTTTAATAAACGAAAGTAATTTTACTTCAGATTTTTTCGATAATTCTGATGATCATTTCTTGATACAAAACAATTCAATTGCGATGTTTGCGTCATGGGGAAAAAGATACTATGTGATTTTTAAATTAAAACCTATATCAATATCAAATAATTATGCAAACGTTATTCATTTTACTCTTGGAAGAGATAATTTGCGTTATGGAGATAGAAACCCTGGTGTTTGGTTTACACCTGGCTCCGGACCTTTGCTCATTTATTTTTCTGCCAACGGTATTAATGACTATACTTACTCCCCACCTCTACTACTTAATAGCTGGTCTACTATTCAATTATGCCATGATATTGTTGACGGAAATTATTTATTTGTAGTATATGTAAATGGAACATTTATTAAAAGCATTGTTAACAAAATGCCTCAAACTTTTGAAAACGTTCTTGTTTATGCTGCAGATCCATGGTACGATGCAAAAGATGGTTACATTAAAGACCTCAAAGTTATAACTGGAAATGAAAGTAACTAATTATTTTATGAAATTTTAACATACTTTGGATAAACTTTTTTTAGTTGACATTATTTTTTTATGCTTAAAATACTATGATTCATATTGTAATTCAAGCTGTTACTATAGTTACTAGCTGTTGACTGCTTGTCTAAAATAAGCTTGACATATTTCATCAAATAAAAAAATGTTAAACAATTTCGTTTGAACCAATAACTTGATTACTTTTTTTTAAATCTTCATAAAATGTTCATTAAATATATTTAAACTTATTTAAAATTTATTTAAACTTATTTATATATTATAAATATATTTAAACTTATTTAAAACTTATTTAAACTTATTTAAAATTCTTATCTCATTCATAATACTTATAAAGTTTCGTATTCCCGAATAAACACACTCAAATCGAGACGCTTTAGATACTTTAAACTCTAACGCTCTTTTTAATTTAAAAACGCATTTTTTTACCAGCCCCAGTCAAAATTGTGATGATGTTGATGTTATTTTTTTTATTTACAAATCAAAAAGCCAGCCACAGAAATCATGGAACTCACTAAGTCTCACTAACGCAAATAAAGTTTAAAGTTATAAAAGTTACTTTATTTTTATAAAACTGATTATAATATTATTGTTAAAAATTACAGCGCTTCAATCTCCAGTGTGATTCTGTCAGAGATTTTGTAGAAAAAGATAAGGAACAAAGTTGTACCAATGTTTTCACCAGCACTGGTTTTTAAAGAAGTTATAAGTACATTTGCTTGATTGTTATAAACACTTACTCAAGCTATGCCAGTTGTTTTTCAGGGTATTCTTGAAAAGATTGAGTAGATACTCAGCTTTTTATCCTTAAAGGCTAAAATATCTTAAAATTTTCATCGTAAAAATATTGATTAGTATATTCAAGTTCACAATCGTCAAAACATTATTTTCATAAAAAAAATTTCTGCCATAGTTTTAATTTTTTTCGTTACGGCAGAATTTGCTAAATATTTTTAATTTTGCTTTCACACCGACCTCCTTAAATAAACTATCACATTGCCCTCTATCTGGTCCTAGATAAGTTCTTCCTTCTTGTAAGAAGACAGTCTGCGTTTATTAAACTCTAAACTTCGGAAGATTTACCAAATCATTTCTAGCCCAAATCAAGCTTTTAAAAAAACTTTTTAAATCAGTTATTTGTGTTTCAAGAGATTGTACTAATATCAGTATATTAAGTTATAAATAGTTATAAAAAGCTTTTATAATCATAAATCTAGACATTACGGTTTAGTCCCTTCTATCTATCCTATTATCACTTTTTTATATATTGTTGCTTAGAATTTTCAAAAAATTCATAAGAATTTTTAAAAATTCTTTAAAAGAACCAAGAATCGTCACAACCAACTTCCAGCTTGAATGAGACTTTTAAAGTTTTATCTGTTTCTGCACAAAACTTTCAGTCTGGACTTTTTATGAGTAATGAATCTGAAAGCAGAACTTCTTCGAGGAACCAAATTTTCATAGAGAATACAATTAAAGTCATAGAAGATGGCATTTTTTTAAAGCACATAAATCAATGCAGTAATTTTCTTTTTTTTTTGGCTTAATGATAGACATTTACTCTTCCTATGCCCTTCCCTATGTTATCTGTGGCAAGATAAATATATTAAACAACATGTTATCTGTGGCAAGATAAATATATTATTACTAATCATGAGTTGAATTGAATTTTTTCATTAATATTTCGACTAAAACTTACAATGAGAAATACATTTACAAAATTTAAAATTTACAACTTATACAACATCAAACAACTTTTGGTTGTTATTTTTTAAGTAACATCAAGCAACTACAAAATGAACTTTTCAACTAATATTAAAAATTGAATGCATGCTATTTTTATAAAATGTATAAAATAGTTTAATTTATAAAAGGTATAGCGCAAATATTATTTTTGTTATACCTCCATTTATAAACTGCAGTTTACATAGGTTTCAATACTTTTTACAATATTTTTTGTAGACTTAATAGAAGATCTTAAAGAACATGCGTTGATGCAGGATAATCTGATAGTAACATTACCCTTGCTGGAAAAAACATTTTCTGTTTCTTTTAAAATCAAACCAAAATTATTTAATGCAAGTTATTATACATCTATTATTCATCTGACTACTGGAGGTGATATTGGATATTATGGATATAGAACTCCGGGAGTATGGTTTAATAACGATGGTTCAGGGATGTTGTATATTTCTTCTGCAGTTAGTGGAAACCCAAATTATTACATTTTTACTGAACCGTTACAGTTAAATGAATGGTCAAGTATTAGAATATCACAGTTTCTAATAAATAAAATTTATATGTATGCAGTGTATTTTAATGGAAACATTATTTATAGTATTAAAAATACACGACCACAACCATTTACAAATGTAAACGTGTATGCAGCGAATCCATGGCATGATGTTCAGGATGGTTATATTAAAGATCTAAGAATAATAAATGGAAATGAAGGTCAGTATCTTTAGTGAAATAAGAATATATATATATATTAATATATATATATATATATATATATATATATATATATATATATATATATATATATATATATATATATATAAATGTATATATATATATATATATATATATATATATATATATATATATATATATATATATATATATATATATATATATATATATATATATATATATATATATATATATATATATATATATATATATATATATATATATATATATATATATATATATATATATATATATATATATATATATATATATATATATATATATATATATATATATATATATATATATATATATATATATATATATATATAACATATATAAGTGGTCTTCCATGGCGTGTTATCACTAAATTACTATTGCCGCGATTTAAGACATCCTTCTGCAACCTTAAGGATTGCAAGTGCTGTATTTAAATTAGTTTGCGAATCTTTTGCGTATAGTTGTTAGACGTAATAGAAAAGTATTTTTGGATCAGTATTGTTAATTATATTATTAAGAGCTGTAATAAACTGCAAACCGTCTAAGACATCAATAGTTTTTTGTTTCTTTTTTATTTTGTCATATATAAGCATTTTACAATGTTCTCGTTTCCAAGTTTAATAAAATAAATCAAAATATAAAAAATGACAGGAGCAAGTAGAAAACATGTCTTGTCGTCAAGCCCCTACAATTTGCGTGATATATTTTATACAATGTATCCAAAATATATAAATTATAATAATTTATACTCACTATATAAAGCAAGTTAAAATAACAATAATAAAATAAAATTTGCTAAATTAAATAAATAAAGTAAAAAAATTTAAATCAGAAGCTTTACAAGTTTTTTCAACAAAAAATAAATAATCATTTTATATAGCAAGTTAAAAATAGCTATACTATATAAAGACTTCTAAATTAAAATATAGAAATAAAATATATATAATAATTATTTATATTTTTTTTGTGTCATTATCTCATTATATACAAATACTCATTATATAAAGCAAATAGGTATAAACTTTATTGTAATAAGATAAAAATACTTCAAAAGTAAAGTAAAAAGCAACAAAAAAAAAAAAAAAAACAGCAAGAAAAACAAATAAGTAACGTAAAAAAAAATTAAATTTTAAAACTAAAAATATAAAAGTATGTTTGTATCTGTTAAGTCGAGCTAGTTCTGTTTAACTAATTTTATAAAATATTGTATAAAGGTTATACTTTTCATTTTGTCGTCAAGAATTCTGTTCCATGGACGAGGTCCTCTATATGAAATTGAGTAATCTGTTTTTTCTAATGTTGACTTAGGTAAGTTAAAATTGTGAATAGAGCACCTCGTTAAGTATTTATGAGAAATAATTAAAAAATGATTGTTGAAGAATTTAGGAAGCATGTTGTTTTGATGTTTAATCATAAATAATAGGTTGTGGTACAAATTTAACTCATTGACGTTTAAAGCTTTGATTTCACGGAATAACGGTTTGGCGTGGGCACATTTATGCATGTTACATATAACTCTACTGGCTTATTTTTGTTTTATATATATTTTTATTAATGCTGATGAACAAGTACTGGCCCAAGCAATGTTACAGTAGCTAATGTAACTATGAATAAAAGAGTAGTATATATCTTTTAAGCATTTTTTTTTTAGTAGGTGTTTTGTTTTATACATAATGCCTATTGTTTTAGAAATTTTGTTTTCAACGAGCGTAATATGACTTTTCCAATTAAGATGTTCATCAAATATTACTCCCAGGATTTTCATTGACACGACTCTTTGTACAACAATTCTGTTTATAACTAAGTTGAAGAGGCAAACTATCTGACTTAGATGGCTAATGAAATAAAACATGTTTAGTTTTACTATTATTTAAAGAGAGTTTGTTTGCTTTGAACAAATCCTCCAGGTTTGTCAGCTCACGATTAACTATGGTAAAAGTTGTTTTAATATTAGAGTCGGAGTAAAAAATAGTAGTATCATCTGCGAAAAGGATAAAGTTAAGCATATCTGAGGAACGGTATATGTCATTCACATAGATTAGAAACAGTAGGGGTCCAGGAATAGAGCCTTGAGGAACTCCACAACTAACTGTTTCTAGCTTTGAACAAGATGTGGTATAAGATACTCCTTGTTTTCTATTTGTAAGGTAACTTTGAAACCAATTTAGGTTGATGTTTATTACTCCATATTTTTCGAGTGTTTGCAGAAGGATTTTAATAAGGTTTTTGATTGCAGTAACCGAGTAACAGGTAAAGTAAAATCTTAAACACGTTTTCTCACAACTAAGGTAAAGATGAGTTAAAAACTGGTAATGGAATTTAAAAAAGTAGAAGATTTATTTTGTGTGTCTTCGTTAACAGAGCTCTTAGGGAAAGCCATGATACATAAAGCATGGAAAGTAGATAAATAATGTTAAAGAATAGTGTTGAAACTATCTATATGCTCAATTCATCTAGTATAATAGTATACCTTACAATATTCATAATAGTATACGTTATGCATTTTTACAAAAATATTATTTTTTGACGTCTTATATTATTTTTAACTTATATGTGAAAAATTTTTTTGCAAATATGTTATTAATCAAAGCTTTTAAATCAATTAAAATATCAAATCAAATAAAAGATGAGACAATATTAATTACATAATTGGTATTTATATTTCCTAAAAATTTGTGTTTTACGGGTACTTAAAGTTTTACTAATAGAAGTTTGTGAAACAAAAATGTCGGCTGAATGTCGGCTTATTTTTTAAAACTATTAATCTAAAAATTCAAACCTGCATAGAATTGCAGTAAATGGTGGCGCCCTTGATCTATAATAATGAGTTAAACGTCCATCTCCTTCGTATGAAAGAAAAAAAGTATTTACAGCCCTCTTATTTGCTTAAAAATAAAGCTATATGTTTTATTCTTAAGCGAGTTTTTTTAAAAAACTCGCTTAAGAATAAAACATATAGCTTTATTTTTAAGCAAATAAGACTGCTATTTTGAATAGCATGTATTACCTTATCCAACTTTCTTATATCCTGCAAAGTATAATTTACATTAGGGTTTGTCCACAAAAACGTCACCCAGTTTTTGACAAGACATTCTCCCTTCCCCACGTCCTCCTCCGCCCTCATCACAATAGTAACTCTTTAGTAAAAAGTTTCGTATGAGCTTCCGCCTCCCCCTAAAGCCTGACGTAATTTATGGAATGTCAAATTTTTTTCTCAAAAACAAAGGGTGGATACTGTTTTAGCAAAAGAAAGTAAATCAATCTTCAAAACATTGAATTCAAAATTTTAAGCAAACTGTTAATAAAGTAGTTTTAAAAATGAAGGCTTAATTCATATTCTCTAACAGAACTTATGCCTGACTTATTAAAAGGGAGAAAACGTGGATTAAAGTTAAAGTAAATTTTGTAAAATGTGATAAGAAAAGATTGTTTCTCATAATAGGAAAACATAAAAGAAGGTGGCAAGCGAGGCAGGGTTGTGATGTTGTGCAATATCATACTAAAACACTGATCCAAGCGTTAATAAAGGCTTAGAAAGTTATTAATCCAGTTGTTTGCGGGGGAAAAATCGTTCCCTTAAACATACGAGAAAAGGCATTACACCTTGGATTAAGTTCTCTTCACTGCTGGATTTTTACTTTTTAATGTCTTCTATATTTGGAATAATAAATGAACATTCAGAAGTTTCAGAAAAGGACAACTGAAAAGAAATTGAATGGAAAAAGAGATAGAGGAAAAAAATAGTTCAATAAAAATGTAGAAAATAACTAAGTCTTGCAACCAGACCAGGATATGGTAACACCAATAATGGCAATACTGCAAAAAGAGCACTTATAGACTCTGAAGTTTTTGCTAATATTATCAGGGTGTTAGCTAGGAATATATTTTTTAATGTGTATTTGCGATAATACACGTTAAAAAATATTGTGTATTATCGCAAAAAAAAAAATTCATTGATATTGTTTTACAAAGTGATTAGAATTTTTATTGATTTCGTCCTAATACTGCCACCCAACACAAATTCGCCACCCAACACAAACACCCTATCCTAACCCCGCCTTAATCCCTGGCATCGCTTTTCGGTAAGGAGGGGTGTTAATATGAATTAGTATCATTTGTACATTAGTTTGTCATTGTTATTTTTATATTTTTATATTATTATTAACTAGTATTAGATATAATAATCTTGTTTGGTGGTGTTTAAAATAGCCTAAGTTACTTTTATAATTTACATCTTAAGTTATAATTTTAAGTTTAAATTGAAGTTATAGTTTTAACAATGTAAAGAGCTTGTGATAATGTCGTGACGCTGTTTTATTGCTGTATTATATGGCTTATAATATTATTGACGTAAAATGCGTTTAAAATTAAACAAAGTTAATAACAGGCACGGACGTTTAGATATTAGAATAAAGCGGAGAGTTAATATACGCAAACGCAGTAGGATTTTATAAACTTGAGAAAATAAAAAATGGCTTAGATCCTCAGTAACAGAAAAAATGTAATTAAAATACCAGTTATTTGTATATTCTAGGTTATAATATAAGTTTTAAAAGACCTTTGCTAAATATTTGAGCGTTAAGTTTAACATTTTTTTCTTTTGTTTCAGTTATTTAAGGTTTTTATATTTTTGATAGTTGGTTTAGCTACGTTGATTTATATTTTTATTCTAAACAAAAAGATAAAAAATTTCGCGCTAAATTTGTGATAAATTTATAATTTTTACTTGATTTAAAAATACTATTATTGCCCTAGATATATAAAGCCTAATTTATTTATTTCATTTTGTTTATTTATTTATTTTTCGTCATTAAAAAAAGAATACAATGCATTTTATATAAATCTACGTGACCGGGCTGAAAGAAGGCAATACTTGCCTTCTCACTACGCCCGACGTGCTTTCATCAGCAAGCGTGTACAACCATTAAAATGTAAACATAAAATTACTGTGTACCATATCATAAATTAATACAAATTTT